CACACCTCGCAACGGCTCTGACTCGAGACTGCGGTTGAACTGCTCTGAACTTGGTTTTATATCACACACCCATTCAACTACACTCAATCAAACTGTTCAGCTTCTTCAAATCCCACCTTTTAGACTTTTTTAAAAACAAGTTTGAACCCATGTGTATTGCATTGACTTTTAACACGAAGAAACCATGATTTCTGAACACACAAGTTGATGTATGTCTTGAGCAATAAATCTACTGTTGCTTTCTCTTATGCTTATGAAATGATCCCTCTGTGACACTGTATATAAGCAACAAACAAATCAAATGTTACAGATAAACATGATTTAGAAAATTCTGTTCATACTGAAAATAGACTTTTTTGTCCTTTTAAATACACAAGAAACATTTGGGGAAAAAATGTTTCAAATAAGAAGGATGGAGAACTCAAATCGCAAATCTGTCTTTAACCTTTGTTTAAATACAAAAAAGAACAGATCAGAACAGAATTGTAGAGCAGAAATTCCAAACCAGGGGTAGAAAAGGGTTAAAACATTTGGCTTAAAGTAGTACATAGCTGATACAGATTCCTAAAAGTAGCAGGTTCATTTATCATTGCATTGCTGGTTGATTCATATTCTGCATCACCAAAGCAGTGATGAGAGATGCGACTTGTGGTCTTTGTTTTAACCAACTGCACTTCAAAGAGGTCACTGTAACATGAGTTAGACAGTACACACAATATTTAGGGTCAGAAAAGCAAGAGAGGACGGTTGACTACAATGCTTTCAACACCACCACACAGATGCAGCCTTTCATCTCACACTTGAAGGTAAACTAGTGTAGAAGAAACCACAGAGACAAAGACAGCTGAAAGAGATAGCACAGTTAGCTATCATTTCAACATGTAAACGCACTGATCTGAACAAGTTGAAGAGCAGCATCTCTATGCTAGAACATTGTACCGTTTAATAGTGAGACTGGATATGTATTTCAGCAATCCACAATGACATTCTTCCTATCTACTGCTGCCATTTTAGATACCCACATCACCATTCTTCCGAGGACAACTTACATCTCTTACTGTTCACGTGTAAGGGGATTCTCATTTTTAGATGTCTACAATTTAGAAAACTGCAATGTACCATCTGCTGCTGAGTTGTGAATAATTCTAATTCCAGTTACAGGTACGTATAGTGGTTACAACCGTCGCTTCACAGGTAGGAAGACATGGGTTTGAATCAACTGGTCAGCTGGAACCTTTCTGTGTGGAGTTTGCATGTTCTCCCTGCGCCTGTATGGGTTTCCTGCCACCATTCCAAAGACATGCATGAAAGGTTAGTTGGTGATTCTAGATTTGCCATAGGTGTGACAGTGAGTGTGCATGGTAGTCTATCTCACTGTGATGGACTGGTGGCATGTCCAGTTACTCAGAGTGATGCTGTAGATGTCTGTACTAACTGGAATACCAACTATTCAAAGTGTAATTACATGAATCTTGAATTAGAGTTTTGACTAGGCAAGATGACGCTGTGGATTGATGTAGCTACATCTGAAGCTACAGTAAGGCGCCATGTTAGAGCAATCTGAGGCCAAAGTTCTAGAAAACTTCAAGTCCATGTCTCTGATGAACAAAGCTCTCTTTTGCCACAAACTCCTTGCAGGTGAGCTCTTTTTATTTCATGACCTTTTCTAGCGGCTCTGGCTCAGCTATTAGAGTGGGTTGTCCTCTAATCACAGTCAAAGTGTCCTCGAGCAAGACACTAAACCTGAAGTTGTGCCCCCATTGGCAAGCAGGCACCTTGCATGGCAGCTCTGTTGATAAAAGTGTCTGCTAAATGCAAAATGAAATTGTAATTGTAATTTCTAATCATGGGCAGCAAGGTGGCTTGGTGGTTAGCATCAGTGCCTCGCAGCAAGAAGGTCGCCAGTTCGCGTCCCAGTGAGGACACCTGTGACCTTTCTGCGTGGAGTTGGAGGAATAAGCGGTGTATAGATGACGGATGGATGGATGGATTTCTAATCATTGTATGCACCACTGCAGCCACCACTGTTTCTGCAAACACTGTTCAAATGCCTTCTGGACCGATATCCAATGGGAAGCCTCATTTAGGACTAGTCAGAATGACCTTCCAAATATCTGCAACTATTTTATTGATGAGTCAAAACTGACCTTAAGAACTGGTGAAAATGATGTTCTTGATGTCTTTAATTCTAACTCTGCAGCAATGGATGTCCGTTGTTCCCACCAGGAGAACAAGAGCAAGCTCACCCTTCCCTGGAAAATTCTCTGTCCACTGAGCCTGCAGCATCTCTGGGTTAAACGCTTTGTTCTAAGTATGCCCGACAAAAGTCCAGATGGAGAGAGCATCACTCATATCCTGCCTCATTCCAGATTTCTCTTGGCCAATCCAGTGATTTTTTTTATTTATTTTTTGCCCATAACCTTGCTTCTGTTTATGCTTAAGCTGCACTTTGGTGGTGGGTGGATGTGTCCGTGTGGGGGATTTGTGTTCAATCTCAGGCGGCTATACTGGACAAGGCAAAAGTAAAACAAACCACAGATTGACAGTGTGACTTTTTTTTTTTTTTTGTGAACACAGGCCCACAGCAAACCATACCTCCCAGGATTGCTCAATATATTCCCCAGTGTTCTGCTGCTGTTTCCTGCCTGTAGGGCCTTACAGTAGTAGACATAAAACACATAGACTGTGTGCTCATTCATTTGGATATGCGGCCGGGTTCAATGGAAATGCAATGGACAGGCTGCTGATGAAACTGACAGAACATTCTTTTAATCCAAGAATTAGTGATGAATATTGTTGGATATTGGCACAGACAGCAACATGACACCTGGGGTTCGACCTTTCCTTTGAGCTCAGCATGCTCAGGTGTTACCATTGGCTCCCGACAGGACTTGCTGTTTTCTGGATGACACATTCAGCAACATACACAAAGAAATACAGAATATCCAGATAAAGAATTATAAGAATTGTCAGCACTGGACATGATTCAGCTGATGGTGTTATGTGTGGGTTGTTCAGTGAAAAAATCAAAGCCAGCTGAATCATCGTGGTACACTGAGGTGTTCATTTCTTTCCCCAAGTTTCCCATGATGCCAGTGACACCTCTGTTCTATGCTGTGTTAACTCTACACCCACTTCCAGGAGTCTGCAAGTGGTTGGGTATTTCCTTGTTTAAATAAATATTTGAGTAAATGAGCTTGTACAAAGAGTCAAAAAAGCAAAGAGTGGAGGACTCATTTGGCCCCGAATATTATATGGCCCCTGTGACAATAATGTCGCTCAGTGCCTGGTACAGTCAGTCAGGAGCAGACCTACTGGAGCTTGGAAACTGTGTGTTTTTACTGCACCATACATAAACAATGCAGGTCTGCTGGGGGTTTCCTTCCACAGGCCTCATTTATAGTCATCACCTCTGCTTGTATACACTCACAAAGAGAACGTGAGCATTTACAAAAAAGGATCACGTGAGGTCTGATCTTTGGGAAAACAGTGCAGTGTCGGCGCAAAACATGACATCATTATGAGCCAGATCTTCGGTGATAAAACTGTCAAGCCTGATTAAGATTATTGTCGTTTTGTTTATTGCATTTTCATTAATTCGGAATATCTCATCTCCTGCTTTCTTTTTAATCTCTCTCATGTGGGTACACCAATTTGCGAAATGCTAAATACGCCTTTAGGATGCCTATTTGAGTTAAAAGTGAACAATGTTGACATCAGATCACAGGACAGTTCATTAAACTGGGAAATACTGGTTTCTGGTACTATTTACCTCAGTTACAGACATGGATTCTTCTGATGTACTTTAAAGCTGTTCCTACAAATACTTTTAGTGTAAATGTTTCGGTTACTCTGATGTGTCCTATGGTGCCGCTTTGTGAGACTGAATTGTCCTGTGATCTAGTATATTACATGTATTTAATTCTCAGGTGCCTTGATCACAGTTAAACTTCTAACATAAAGTAAATTATTATCAAAAGTAAGGATGAGAGTGCTCAAAAATGGTTCAGGTATGAACAAAGTCTAATGTATCACCATCAGTATAGTCATGGATTCACATGTTAGTTACTGTTCTGTGCTAAACTTGCATCTCCGAAACTTTTTCCTGCTCGAAGGCAGCCCTGTCTGTGCATTCTCAGATAATCCAGAAGGCTTTTAAGGGAGACTTTCTTTCCTGCCCATAAAATAACTTTTATCCCTTCAGTTGATCTTAAAAAAAAAATTATGAAGATCCCTTTTGTTTCCCAACTTTTTTAGTTTTCCAGGTATTGGAGAAGAGTTCACCATAACTTGTAGGAGTAACATGAGCTCAGATTTTGGTTGGATAATCCCTTTAGATTTGAGAGGCGCTACTGTACATCTCAGACCGCTTGCCTCTGGGTTCTGCATTAAACAGCACTGCCTGCTGGTCACATTTATGAACTGCAGTCCAGTGAATCAATGAAATGACTGAAATGCCAAAACACTGAAGCCCCAAGCTCACAAGTGCATGTGCACATTTCTCATACAGATGACTTTTTTGGATTCTTCCTCTGCCTCCAGCTGATCTCTTGGTGTCTAAGTTCTTTTTAAGATCACAGACTTTTATATTTATGCCATCTAACACACACTGTCTCAGTATAAATCTCAGCACTGAACTTTGAACTGTCAGTTTTCACACTATGTTGCAGTAATTAAAGGCAACACTTGAAGGGCTTGAATGGGGGCATGTTCAGCCAATGTGTCTGACTCTCTCTCTCTCTCTCTCTCTCTCTCTCTCTCTCTCTCTCTGTCACTACTTCTGGAGTTTGAATGAGTTTGGATGAGACTCCCCCCCCCTTCTCTCTCCCCCCTTCTCTTCCCTGTCGCTCCTCCTTACACCCCCAAAACCTCCCCCTCTTATTAAAACAACACGCCAATCTGTTGTAACCCGGTAAAAGGACTTTGGGAGCCGCAGCAACCATAAAGGAGGCTCCACACACACATCCGTCTGGAAGGAATTAGACAGCTGAAACAGCGGCACAGAGACTTTTGGCCACTTCTGTGTAACCTGGATGCTGTAGGGGGGAGACTATAGAAATATTTACATCCCCCCTCAAAAAGAGCAAAAAAAGAAATTACAAAAAGGTCTTGCTCATATTTTATCAATATAGAAGGAGCGTTTTTTTTCCTCCTTGTAAATATGACTGACGTTGCCAAAGTTGGTGGCTTTTTGTAACTTTTTGGAAAAAAAATGAATGAAACTGACAGAAGTTGATGGAGAAGAATATTTATCCTTTTTTCATAGTCTACTTTATATTTATACTTTTTTATATGAATGATGCCAAAGTTGACTGACATGATGTTTGTACACCAAAGATGCATGTGCTCCACAGTTAGTGACTGCAGGCAGAGCGTTAAAAGTTAGAGAAGACGAGCGGTTCACTTTTACGCATCCAGCTGAGCGCACTTAAAGGAACGTGCAAGATTCTTATTTTTTACATTTTTACTATTTTTTTTGATGAGGATCATTTTGAGCGGATTCATGAGAGTCACAACTTCTCAAACTTTGTCGCTACTTTCTCTCCCTGTGGATCGGCACCGCAGCCACCGGAGTTGACCGCATCCTTCATCCAAGGACGAGCGAGAGGACAGCAGCTGCTTCAAGGTAGGCGGCCGGTGAGCATGCTGACAGATAGTGATAAATGTTTCATCAGAAGACAGTTATTCGCATGCAGAAGTGGAACTGAGAAACTAATCGGGCGCGATTCTAATTGGGGACAACGGAATTGTCGAAAATCTAAATTTATCACATACAATATTTAGGGTTTGCGTCGTGAGAATTAAGATACCAGATCCAGTATTTAAGATCAACAAAGGGGAGTGATGCTACAAGTTGGGAGGCAAACCCTCTCTTTTAATGCACAGCAACAAGTAGTCCTGATTGTATCGCAAGCACGTGTTACCTGGTGTATTCCAAATGTCATCACATTAAAAAAAACACGTGTCTGAAAAGTTGAATTTGTCTAAACCGGCACAAACATCTGCATCCCTGTCAAGTTGTGCCAGCTGTGGACATGTGCCAAACATTTGTCCAGATTACGCTTGTAATCATATATCATAATCATGTATCCAATTATTATAGCCTTAGAATAAACTAAATTGATGACGTCCCAAGTCATGCGTCATGCTTTGAGACCTGTGAGCCAATGAGAAGGCTGGAATCGCACACGTACAGTGTGGCTTGTGGTAGTAGCGCGTAATTTGATGCCTGATGTGGAAGACAGACGTTTATGCATGTGAATAAGAAGCAGCCCACATGTTTTATTGAGTAATAGTTGATGCCAGTGTGCTCTGGTTAGTTTTAGGAGGTATTAATCCTGCTCGGTGTCCATCCAGTTCTCCTAACTTTAGACCCAAACATCAAAAAGCGTCTGACAGGTGTCACGTGGGCACACAGCTCCTATAACATACTTTTAGCACCGCAACATCCCAACACACCCACGATACACATCATACACATAGACACAAAATGCAAATGAACATCTGCCCGTCTCTTTTGACATATTCGCTTCCTCCAGCCTCCTACTGTGACTTCTTAGTATGCAGATACCATTGCTGGCTCACATGCAGCAAAACCCACACAAGGAATGCCCATCTGCGAGTTGAACGTCTGAGCATTCCTCACATTTATCAATGATGTACAGCAAAAGTTTCCATCCTACACAAGGACACTGCTTCCTACTGACCTGAGTTATTTTTTCATGATGTGTTTTAAAGCTCACGCTATGCAAGCCGAGCACATGATTGCTCACACCTGCAAGAAGCGATGAGCACCAATGTCGATAATATATCAATGTATTCTTGAAAGAGACATATCCAGCTTTGTACCTCTGAGGGGACATTTAAAGCAGCTTGCATACTAATCAGTATCTCACCTCCTACTTAGTCTGCAATGTAAATGTCAAATAATAGACGCACTTCACATCCTCTCTGCATAATCGGCGCATGTGTGGACCTCCTGCGTTTGTCGACATGCACGCAAACTAATACCAACATGCTGTTCCTAATCCCAGTCCTCCAGGGAGTTTCCCTGCTGAGTGCAGTGTACAGTCAGGAAGGAAAAACTACTCTTTTAAGTGGAATAATCAACACTGAATGAAGTATTTAATTCTCATGTGCAGCCAAGTCGGTAGCCGCTAAAAGTTGTTGTCTGCTGTAGCTGCCAAAAAAGTTTTCTTTCTTGCAGTCTGACACAGTCATATAGTGTACTGCAGACTCATCAGTACCACAGGATGTTCCTCTACACAGCATACAGAGCAGTTTACTACCTAACAGAGGAAAGCATTCCATAGCTGGCCCCCATTAGGGTTCACAACAAGTCTCACGTGCCATTACTGCTCCCAGCGAGGGTCCTTCAGTGTATAGGGCCTTGGGGCTAGCAGGGCATAACTACTGATGTTAGGGGGAGAGTGCATATGTGCAGCCCCTCCCAAACACCACCACCTACCTCATCTATCCTGCGTTAATGCCACAGTTTTTTCCAGGTTCCTCCGGTATAGTAACCGTGAAGCAGCACTGCAGCCAGCCAGTAAAAAGTGAAAATTTGGATGTCAGTGAGAGGTTTGAGTTAGATTCCCACTACCTCATACTGAGTCACACAGAGTAGCACAGGGAGGGCTGATGCCAGTGCTAATGCATAGATCCAGGAGTTACAGCATGCCATAAAGTAGCCCAGGAGCTGCACAAAGTAAGCTGTGTTTGAGTGGCTGCAGATCAGATTGAGCTGGCTCCCTTACAACACTTCAATTTTTAATGTTGCTGATAATACTTTCTGTGGTACATCTTATAGAAAGCCTGCCTTAATTCTTTCACCCAGCTGCTCATCCATCCATTCACAGGGAGTGATTGTGAGGGTCTGTTATCTCTTAGCCACAATTAGCCGTGATAATACAGACCGCTATGAATGGAATTGTCTACCATGTAAGGAGGAAGCCTTTTATTTTAGAGCGCTGCTGATAACGGTCTGCTGCCAGATAGGGGACGCGTCGGATCAATGGGTGACGTAAAGAGACAAGCTGGATTGCATAAGCATTTAAACATTATGTGGAAGACATCGTGTGTTCTTTTATTTTACCACGAAGAGCTAAAAAAAAATCCTATTTCTTCTTACTGTGTAAATGCTGAATAGTGAAAAGAAGCAAACAAATGCTCACACACAGGAATGACTGTAGAAAGGAGGCATTCCTGACTGAACCACATCTGCACTTTGGCTTCTTTGGAGTCTGCCACAGTGGCACAAGTCCAGTACCTCAGCTGGCGGTGAACAGAGCCAAGTCCACCACCAAGCCTCTCGTCTCTTACCCCCTCCTTCTTTTGGTGCATGCCATCCCTCCCTCTGTTACTACCTTCCATCTGACCTGCTGTAGTCCTCCACCTCTTTCCACTTCTCTTCTTCCGACTACAGGGATGAGTCAAGAGGGAGATGTGCCAGAATACCAGCAGCATAACTTGGCTTCGAAATCAACAACGGATTTACCTCAGTGTTTCTATTAAATCACGAACTGCAACTTCTTTTTCCACTTTCATACTGAAGTTATAATTACATCTCCTGTTGTCCACTGTTGTGGAAACAGAAAGATGATCAACACACAATGGAGAAACTTAGAGGGGGGACAGTAATGCAAAACACTCTGTTAGGATGTTGTAACCGTATCACACCTGATTCCAATAACATGCAGAAGGTGAGGAATAGAGAGACGCATGAGGACGGAGAAAGGGAGTGTAAAAAGCAAACTCCCTTGTAATGCGGTAATGTTACACCTTTGCCAGTTGCAGTCCCGTCCACCTGATTTCAATCATGGAAGTGGTAGTGCGGTGCAGCGCAGTGGGTGGTGTTACCGTTTAGTTCTGGTTCTTATAATGACAACAACAGCACACTGTGACCACATGGGGGGGTTTATGGTGGGCGTGGAGGGGTGATGGGGTGGGCGTAGGAGAAGAGGGAGGAGTGAGGGAGGGTCAGTTACTGTAAATCCACTTGACCTTTTGGTGCATTTGGACAGTTTGATTCATAGAAGACCAATATGTCCACCCTTTATATGACTGCAGCAATATACGATAGGTAGTGATGTCATATAACCCAATGGCTGTTGATTTAAGTTCTTTTTTTGTACAAGTTTATTTAATTTTTTTTTTTCATCTTCTTCTTGATTCATTCCATTAAGATTTGATTTTACTTCTAAAATCATCAGTATTGTGAACAAATTTATAGCATGCTCAAAGCAGATTTTACATTAGAAAGCAGCTCATGGAAGCAGAAACAGAATAGCGAACCGGCCTTGAGTGATTCAAGTGTGTGAAGCTCAATGCTACATTCACACCAATAACTTTTTGTTTTAAAACAGCAATATCTCCATCAAGTGTTTTTGCACCATTTCAGAAACAATCTCATACAGTGACTATTATCATATGTCCAGTTATGCACGCTGGATATGCAGGTGATGATGTAAACAGAAAGCAGAAGGTTGGTCAGCAGTTAAAACCCAATCAGAAAGCAAACATGAGTGTCTGCAATATCGTTTCCAAAAGTCTGACCATCCAAACTAAAATGTGAGCAACAAGTTTTAAAACAAACTCAGTCGGGTTTCAAAAAGATTAAGTTTCAGGGTTCTTAAAATACCTAAGTAGTGTGGATGTTGGGCCTAAACATAGCAGAACTTGAATGTTTTAAACAGAAACTGTATTAGTATGGCTGCAGTCTAAGACAGCAGCCAACTCTTTTCCAGCTGCTCTCTCTCCTCTGTCTCCTCTTCTACTTAGGAATACGTGATCCCTTCCTGCATCCTGCTGCAACTGTCACGAGGGCCATCTCCACATTTAATGCTTTTTCTAGCATGGCCCAGCTCAAGCGTAGACGCACACTGACAACTTAGTGCACACATAAGATCACTTACTCGCTTCTTCATGCCCCAGACTACGTCTCTCAGGTGGCGGAACATCATGCGTTTTCGATTTCAGCGTTGTATATGACTTCAGCAAGTCTGGTTTTCTAATTTTACCTTGATGATAACGGAAAACTTGTCCAATATTTCTTCGATGGATCAAAAGGCTTTGGCAAACCATAAATATCATTAATACTTCCATTAGCTCGTACCTCTTGTGGATTAGTTGAGATCATAGCACTGTCATAAATAATTTTCTTTAAATCATTAAATTATGGCAAGTCTTGTACCGTATCCGTGCCCAAAATATACCAGCCACAAGTGTGAGCTGGCTTACAGCATTAAAGTGTGATTTGTGAATAGCACTCATCTGGCCAGAGCCGTTGATTTGTGAATGTTACACCTCCAGCCAGTGACTGCTGAGTCACACTAACATAAAGATGTAAGCTTTATGTTATCTCAGCTCCTCATAGACCAGCAAGCTGTCTTTTTTGGCTCCACATCAGATTTATACAGTAACACACACACACACAGGGAGACACAAACTCCCATATACTTATGGTGCTCTCTCTATAAAGACACATGCACACAGAGTCTGGCGAGCCTTGTTATAGTTTACGTTCCATCACGGGCCTTGAACTGGAACCACGCTAAAAGAGATTCCACTGCTCTCGTGTGAGTTTAGTCAAACCATCTCTTCCTCTCACATACCCAAATACATACACACACACAAACACACACCTCTTCCTGTGCACACATGGCATACAACAGCCAAAACACACTCACTGTGCATATTTTGCTTAGCTCATGCATTTGCACATAGACACACATATGCTCGCACACATGGCAAGTGTTCTGCAAGTACAAAACTTAATGGCATTCACATTTACACAGACAAGCTACATATATATCTGACAGCTATCCACCGCTATGCAATGTACATGCGGTTTATTACAGCATGTGGTGATTCTCCTGACTGTACTAAATCACTTATTATACTTGAAGAACCAAAGGGGTCCTTTATTTCACAACATACCACAATCTGAGGCTATAGTTTGATGCTGAACTTCTGTCACACAGAATGAGGCTTGAGAAGTGTATGATTTAATAGATAATAGATGCACCATTTGACAATGTCAACTCGTATTTAAAAAAAACTGCCATGAACCCCAGTTAGATGCTCATCTTTGCTCACCAGCAGATAGAAGTATTCACTTAAAAAAAAATCTCAACATCTTGCGGATATAAAATTCTCCAGTGGATGAAGCCTATGGGCTTTTGTGACCCCCTGAGATTTCCTCTGGGGCAACTGTGAGGTTCACATTTGTGTTACTGAGGGAAATGTCTGAGCAACTATTGGGTGAATTGCTGTAAAACAACATGTGCACATAATAATACAATCCCCAGTGCTTGCATCTTGTACCATCTATTATACCTCTCTCTTAATCCAAGGCTTTGGCTTATGACAAAATACCTGCAAAACTCCCAGCAGCCTCAGCTAAGTGCTAATTAGCACATATTAGCATGTTTGCATGCTACCTCATACAGCAACAAAGGGAAGTACAATGACACCTTCTGGTTTCTTTTACAGTTGGAGGGTTCAGTGTCTGGCTCTAAGGTACTTGGGCATTTACTGTAACAGGAAGGGGAAGAGTTACTCATTCAATTTCCCAGTGCATACTTTCAAAATTCATCATTTCCCCAGTGACCACTGTAATGTTATTTCACATAGAACCAGATTACCAGATTTAGGATTGAGACAATTCATTCATTCATTCATTCATTCATTCATTCATTCATTCATTCATTCATTCGTCTGCTAAATCAACATCTATTGTGCATCCATGTGAGACCTACCGTTACTGTAGTGTTTTATCAGAGACAGAGCCAGTGGGAGTTTCTCTCTAGAGACTGTTAATAACGTCAGCGTGAGGCACTAAAGCATCCAACCCAAGGTCACCAAGGGGTTGGACACACACAAAGATAGTGATGGGGTTTTATCACTCACATGTACCAAGATATGAAAACAAACTGAAAATTGAGGTGACATCACCAGCATGTGCTAATGACACCTTTAACTCACACAGAAACATGTCGTGTGCCGACACACAAAGATACACGCTACTCCCAAGTGACATCATCCATACGCCGACGACTCTGACGCCGTCACGGACTGATTATGAGCTTGGTCTTACAGGGACTAGAGCCAAGCTTTGGAAGAGCGTTATGACTGACTATTAGCCTGCAGTTAATCTTGCTGCAGCTTGAACTAATTGTTAGTGACCTTTGCACTGCTTCACACACCCAAAATGTAGTATAGGATGCCATGAAGAGCAGAGCATCGTGACAAGCAGCAATAGCTGAACTGGTTTACACTGAATCATTGTAATCCATTGGGCAATGTTTAGCTGGTCTGCTATGAGGGGACAGCAAAAGTTTCATGCCTGCGGAATATGAACTAAATTTAATTTCACAGTTTGGCTTTATACTTTTACCACTTTTAAATCAGAGTTCGGTTTCAAGTGCAGATCATAAACAAGCAGTCAAAAGCAACAAACACCATGTCGAATTAGCATGTCATCAGTGGTTCTGAACCTTTCTTTTTTTTTTTAGGTTTCCTCCCACAGTCCAGTTAGTGAAATGAGAACTGTAAATTCCCAGTCAGTCTGAATAAGTTAGCCAATGTCAGACCTGATGTACTTGTAAGCTGGTCCATCAGCTACATACTGAATATTTTGGTGGCACATTTGTTTTTCAGTCATGTTTTCTGCTAAGCAGCGGTTGAGTTCACTAAAAGGTGATGCATCGAGACGGGGTGAACAAGTTTATTCTGCGCTACCTTATATAGTTGTAAAAAAAAAATACACACATGCTCACTCACACACATGCACAAGCTGAAGGAGTTCAGCTTAACACAATTTAAAAAGTGTACTTTCACAGACACACACGCTCCCTCTTTCTCCCTCTGAATTGGTGTAATAAGCTTTTATATGTGCGTTTGTGTGTATGTGTGTGTGTGTCAGGGGTCTTGTAAATGAGCGGCTGACGTTAAGAGCCTAGACACGTGCCAGAGGAGGCCTGTTACACTGGTTGTGGCCTTCTCATCCAATGATCAAATGAACAAGGCATTATGTCTGAGCCAAAGGGGTGTATATGTGTGTGTATTAGTCTTCTCTCTCTCTGCTTCGACTACTCTCCCAGTGTCTCCAGCTTTGTTTTTATCTTATCTTTTTAGAGATCTGTCTGTTTTTCTGCTCACTGCTTTTACCCTCTTACTTTTCTTTTCCTTCTTTCCCCAAGGCTGAACCTTTTCCTGCCCCTTCCCCTCTTCTGTCTTTACAATTCTGTCTCGTTTCTTTCTGTGTTTTACTCTTCCACTCCCTCCATCTGTCTTGTGTGTTTAGGTGTGGTGTGAAGAACTCTTGCCAAATCACAAACACCACTCAGCTTTGTGTACACTTCTTTTGATGATTTAATTCCTTGCTCTGATTTGCATGTCTTGCTTGTCTTGACTAGATGAACATGTACATGATGTTGCATACATTACGATGTAAAATGTATTTTTTTGGGTGAGGTTCACCAAATGTGCACCCGATGCTACATCAAATGCAGCGAAATGTTGCTCAAAATGTTAAATAATGTCCCACAAGGGGGCGCCCCACTGACTAGGTGACCAAAGTAGAAAACTTTGGCCTTCATTATGTCAAAAGGTCACACTCTCCCATCTTTACTCTATGCTATGTTAATAAAATGAGTGCTCTTCATAATGCTTAAACCAACATATTCTCTTACCCATCTTTTCTTCAAAGTGCATTTTAATCTTTGCGTGTATTTAATTGTGGAAATTATTTTTGCGTGAGTCACAGAGGGGTTAAGCCGCACGTGCAGCATTAGAAAATCTAAAAAGCTCTTGTCTTCTTCTTCCCACGGAGATATAAACAGATGACATCACAGGGTGGTCCGCTCTGCGTTGAGCCGAGCCGAGCCACGCTGAGTGGGTCTCCGTTGGTCTGCCAAACAGATGGCGGTAGCAACATAATGAGGGCTGGAAACAAACTTCAGGAGTCAGAGCAGAAGATTTTGTGCAGCAGGGCCTAGGAAGGTTCATTAAAGACTGTTGTACAGACACAAAAGAAGGCAATGTTCTTCCCTGGTACTCTTATACAGACAACTGAATAATCTTTTATGGTCTAGATCAGATTTCCTTACACGGGCTGTTTAACTTAAAATGTTGTGAAATTTGTCTCCACAATACAGCAGAAAACATTTTCAGTATTGAAACATTTTGAGAGTCCTCAGAGTTTGGGGTTTTTTGGTAGGGGCATCCAGCTTGTTGGTTAATTAGGTCAAGAAATCTTGTAACATGCGCCCACCCACAGTAAAAGAGAGTTGGAACAATCGGCTACTCACAACTGTCTGACATTTAGACAGGGATTTTGGGGAGGGGTAGACGGAGAGAGAGCGAGAGAGGGGGAAGGAGGGAGTAAAAAAAAAAAAGGAGAAACTTTACTGCTTTCTCCACCTGAGTTTTCTGTAGTGTGCCATAGAGGAGTATGCTGAACACACTGTGACTAAGCATTTTCCGTACTATATGTCTTAGGAATGTATACCTGCACATTTTATAATAAGATCCTAGAGAGATTAGCCGGAATGAAAATGGAGCATGAAAAAAAATGTTTTACTATCTACTCCTTCATCATGAACTTTTCACACCGCTGTCACTAAATTTAATTATTTTCCTTTTCCCACAGATGAAGTGTCAAAGAGTCCTCACCTACCTGAGGATATTTGGGACCACCATGTTTGGCGTATCCCTCCTGGTGGGCATCTCCACTGCCTACATCATGGGCTACCAGTTCTTCACCACAGCCCACAACCACCTATCCTTCGGCCTGTACGGTGCCATCTTGGTCGTCCACCTCATCATCCAGAGCCTCTTTGCACTCTTAGAACACCGGAACATGCGGCGTTCCCTAGAGACCCCAATTAAACTGAACAAATCCTTGGCGCTGTGCATTGCAGCGTATCAAGAGGACCCAAACTACCTGAGAAAATGCCTGGTGTCGGTGAAGAGGCTCACGTACCCAGGGATCAAAGTGATCATGGTAATCGACGGGAACGCAGACGATGACTTGTACATGATGGAGATTTTTAAAGAGGTCATGGGATGGGACAAATCGGCCACGTATGTGTGGCGGAATAATTATCACAGCAGGGGTCCTGAGGAGACGGATGAGAGCTTCGCTGAGAGCCTTCAGCAAGTGTCCAGGCTCGTGCTGAACAACAAGTGCGTGTGTATCATGCAGAAGTGGGGAGGAAAGAGAGAGGTCATGTATACGGCCTTCAAAGCACTGGGGAGGAGCGTGGACTATGTGCAGGTAAGGCTTCAAATCAGCCCATGTAGGTGATGGAGGGAATATTATTAGAGCCATTAACATGAAAAGAAAACCTGAGAACATGTTGGCTGTGCAGATTAAACCTTAGTATGCTGTATAACAGGTGAAACACAGAGGTGATACAAGGATAGCTGACATCTGAAAGACATAGTGAGGAATGGTGTAAGCTAGACTGAGTGAGATGCAAACTAGGCAAGCATAAGTTGGCAATAGAGGAAGAGGGAGCAGAAAGAGAGATGGCTGGAGAGGGGAACAGGGGGGCTGTGCCAAGCAAAATATGGGGTCCACAAAGAGTCTTTTGTGTTGCTTTTAGGCGGACGGTGGCTGTGTGCATCGTGTCATTAAGTGCAGCGTGAAGAAGGGCAGCAGTGGCTGATGTCTAAGTGTAATAACAGATCTGTTGCACAGGGCTGAGTGTTACATCATCTACATGAGATTTATTCAGAGCCAGAGCACAAAACTGTGGTAAAAGGAAGGTTAAGTTTGGTATGTTTTTGTTTTCTGGCAGCAATAAATAAAAGTTTTACTTGAATAGTGGTGTAAACATTATATATATCTCTCTCTGGGGAAAACACTTCTCCAGTGTGTTTTCCTGGATAATGTTGTCCACAGTGTGTGTTGGTGTGACTTAAAATATAAACGGCAACTAAATATATTAACTGCTTGGCACAGCAGATAATGTTTTTAGCTGCTTGGAACAGAAGTTAATGCTTTCAGCCACTGTGTACACACAAGCCAAAGTACCAGAATCTTGTTTTAATCCTGCAGGGCAGTGATTGTTAAGAAATATGGGCTGTTGTGGAGATATATAGCATGGTCACATTCAGGGGCATAGTGTAATTATTCATAAAATGCAACCTTACTTAATTTATCACACCAGGGGGTTTTGCTGCTACAGTCTCACTTGGTCTGGTACGTAGGATCTCATAGTGGTGAATGTTGGCAAACAACACACGTGTTATGTAGATATCACAGTGTAACTCACATGGCTGAGTCAGTTTTATGAGTTGCTAATTATAACGTACTTGTGTTATAGTTACAAAATATTTTAGTATATTGCAGTATCACCTAATTGCCACTTGTGGCCTTAGTTCATCAAAATAGATTCTGTCTCTCATTACATGTGTTTATGTGAAGAATAAAAGTAATTCAAAGCATGGAATGCTTAGAACTTTTCCCAAAATCTACCTGCTAATACTAAATATGCCATGAAATGCACTTTCTAATGACAATGTTATCCTTTCAAAGAATCAGTGAATGTCTTTGTTAAAGCTGGTGTAAGCAAAACATTTTTGGCCTCATTCAGTGAGAAATTTAACATTAAACATTCAGAATATTATGATTCAAGTTGTCCGAGAGACCTGTCCAGGGTGTCCCCTGCCTTCGCCCTAAGTCAGCTGGGATAGGCTCCAACCCCCCCGCGACCCTAGTGAGGATTAAGCGGTGTATAGATAACGGATGGATGGAAGTTGTCCGAGAGGAAACTAAACGTTTGCACCGTTTCCTGGGTCCCTTTTCAAGCTTTAGAAAATGTAAGCTGTGATAGGAGAGTTACGCCTATCACAGGGTTTTCCATCTTGAGAATATGAGATAGTGTAGAGAGCAACAAAGTCCATGGTGAGGACAGTGTGTAGTGGGTTAGATGGAGGACTTTCACCTGGGAGAGTGGGTTGTGAAACAACCAGTAATAAATGTTGAGTATCTTTCATATTTGAACCGTGTGCTCATGTGGTGGGAGGGGCATAGAAGAGTTTCTTGCCTTTTCCAGATATTGGCCTACTGCAGCTTTAATCGTCACAAATTATTGTCTGTTTGCTATAACACTACAACTAAATTCTTAGTTGGTTCACAGTTCAACTTATCTGCAACTATAGAAAGTTCCTTGTCTATAGACTTGTGCACAGGCAACAGTCCATTGGCTAAACACCAAGTGCCATTACCAATTCTCGTCTTTTCATGTTTGACCTGTAATATTCAGCTGCTACAAAAGACACTATGAGCAGTGCCCAAAAGAAATCTCATTAGTATAATAATGGAATGATTTTAATTTTGAGTATAAAAACCCTGTGCTGTTATGTTGTCTAACACCTGCAGCTGAACTCAGCCTGCCAGAAACCACTTGTTTAACAGAGATTTCAAAAGAACTTACAGCAGCTCTGCCAGCAGTCATGCCAATACCGATCAACATTTAGGAATAGGAGGGACAACACTGCATGCCTTTTCACTATCATCAGGCCCTGCTTGTAGCAGATGTGTTTCGTTAATAGGGATTGGGCTTTAGGTTTGTTTCCATCACCTGATTTTGTTAGTCAGGAAAATTACCATTTATAGAAGAAAATGGGGGAGTGCTAAAAAAGAGCATCAGAAAGATAGTGGGTGGCGATTAAAGTTGAAAGCAGTTCCTCTGATCTTTGTTGGAGGGGATTATACACTGGCTATAGTGTTACTTTTTATTCAGATCATAAATGTGTTTTCTTGAATGTGTGATTATTTTCCACCTGTTCCACACATTTAATTTACCAGCACTAAGAATTCTTTTCAACTCACATGGATAAGTATTTGCATCTCTGAAGCTTGCTCTGCTTTCTGTCTGGACACACACTTGCAGACGACGTCTGGTCTTAAAACGCAGTTTACTCACTGTTTATTGTGTGGGTCTTACTTAGGTGTGTGACTCTGACACCATGCTGGACCCAGCTTCCTCAGTGGAGATGGTGAAGGTTTTAGAGGAAGACCCGATGGTGGGCGGCGTTGGAGGAGATGTACAGGTACAGTTACCAAACTAACATTGCAGTGCTTTACATTAAACCTTATATGCTGTATTTAAAACCTCCTACTTTTTGTTTTTGATTGTCAATCTCTTTACAGATCTTAAATAAGTATGAATCATGGATCTCCTTCCTGAGCAGTGTGCGATACTGGATGGCCTTCAACATTGAGCGAGCCTGCCAGTCCTACTTCGGCTGTGTTCAGTGCATCAGCGGGCCTTTAGGAATGTACCGAAACTCCCTCCTGCACGAGTTTGTTGAGGACTGGTACAATCAGACCTTCATGGGATCCCACTGCAGTTTTGGGGATGACCGTCATCTCACAAACAGAGTTCTCAGCCTCGGGTACGCAACCAAATACACTGCACGATCAAAGTGCCTCACTGAGACACCGATTACATATTTGCGGTGGCTCAACCAACAGACACGGTGGAGTAAGTCGTATTTCAGAGAATGGCTCTACAACTCCATGTGGTTCCACAAGCACCATCTATGGATGACTTACGAGGCTGTGATCACCGGCTTCTTCCCGTTTTTCCTCATTGCCACTGCAATCCAACTCTTCTACCAAGGAAGGCTCTGGAATATTTTGTTGTTTCTCCTCATTGTGCAAGCAGTGGCGCTGATAAAGTCGTCATTCGCCAGCTGCCTCAGAGGTAACATCGTCATGGTGTTTATGTCGTTCTATTCTGTACTGTATATGTCAAGCCTGTTGCCAGCCAAAATGTTTGCAATAGCGACAATCAACAAGTCTGGATGGGGGACCTCTGGGAGGAAAACAATAGTGGTGAACTTCATCGGACTGATTCCAATATCAGTTTGGTTCACCATCCTCTTCATTGGGATTCTATACACCATAGTACTTCAGACTAGAAAACCCTTCCCCGAATCAGAGAAGATTGTTCTGATCGTAGGAGCAGTCGTCTACGCCAGTTACTGGGTCATATTGTTGACGTTGTATGCAGTGCTCATAAACAAATGTGGGAAGAGGAAGAAGGAAACACACTATGATATGGTGCTGGATGTATGACTTACAGACTACAGTCATCATTTACCACTGAACTCTCTTGGGTTGTTTTCACTCACACCCTGTTGTTGTTAAGCAAATGTTTTACAGATGCTGAGCAGCTCTGGAGGCAAAATTGGTTGAGTTCAATCAAAATGGGCAAAGAACCAGTTTTTTTTTGTTTTCAAACTTGAATGGTAAAAACATATAAATGGCATAATCTAACCATAATCTGTCTAGCTGAAGATCGACGAATGTGGCAAACGGGCTAACTCGGAATGGCGAGACTACGTATATTGCAGTTGGCAGCAAGAGTGCTAGGCTTCTTAATATTAGCTACCTCTTACCCTTGTCATTTTCACTGGGCTTCAGTCTAACATTAGCAACTTAGCCAGAGAAACTGTGGATTTTTAGCTTCCCCCATTGGGGTTTAACTTGACCAGTAAGAATATTTTACCTCCAGAGCATCATTGTGCCTCCAAGTAATGTACGCACACCCCAACTAAAAAGCAATCTGTGTGTTGCCCCCACTAATGGAAAGCCAAATGACTGCCAGTTTGGCTCCACTGTCAAATAACTGCACGGCATTGACGATTACTTTAGTAGTCGTGATTTGCCACCACTAAAAAGAAATCCACAAAAAAAAATACTGCATCTGTTTACTGTTTCAATGCCACATGTCTGCAGTTGTTAATTCTGGGGGCAATGCATAGGTGTACCTTTTCAGTGTTTAATCTGTTTGGGGAAGAACTATTTAATCAATCTGCAAAGCATGAATAGGTGCAGAAAGGGCTTTAAAATGGAGAGCTGCTCACTTTCTTTTGTCGCACTCATGTCATATGGGAAAGACATAAACTACATCGTACTCCTCAGATGTTGAGCTTTAAGTCAGTAGCTAAATACCACATCAGGACTTGGCAAAAGAATCAGGTAACCTTGCTTTGGATGCCAAGAACAAGAAAGCACTTGCTATGTACCCTGTGGAATATCTTAACAGAGTAAATTCATAATTGCTACTTCTAATTTCCTCCGCAGTACACAGTAATCTCCTGTTACATCATATCATCACTCAGTAATGGTGTAAAACGGCGCAGCAAAAAGGTTTGTTGTTAATCCCATATGACATGACTGCAGTGTTTGTTTGTTTTTTCTCAACGTTTACAAAGTGAAGAATCTCAAACTGATCACTGATTGGTAGATATAATCTCCACCTGATCAGGTGAACATGTGACCACAAGAGAGAGACGGTGTATCATTGCTGCTGACTGTTTAATTTTTTACAGAAAATAATGTTTTTTTTTTGTTATTCATTTTTTTCCTTTTTTAAAAAATATGAATTATGGGTGTATGATGCAAAAATGGTTTTAACACAATTATTGTTAATGTATTTCTTGCTACCAAATTGAATGATAACCACCAAGCAGACAAGGTGGACGTGTTCCAATCCAAAGACTTTGTGATTTTATGCCTTCCACATGCCCTTGCTCTCTTCCATTCTTCACATACTGTATTGAGGATACTGTGGCTACACCTCAATGCTTCCTTGCACTGTGTTGAACAATGCAAAGGAAATAGTAAATGTGATAAGACAATGTTAGCGTACCTAATGTGGGAAAAGTACTACCTGATAATAGGAATGTGAATAAGGGCACTTGATGGAAGGGAGCAGCATTTTGAATGGAATGAAACAAGTCCAGTGTTTGCAATAGACCAGGAGCAGACATAAGTTTAATTCTTACGCACTTTTATGTCGCTCCCGTTGTCCAGCGTGATGCTTGACGTAATCAAGATGAAATACCTCAGTGGTTCTCTATGCATTGCATTAAGGCATCAGGATGCCGTCCAAAGATTGATGCATTCTGACAGTCTCAAGTAATTTATGATCTGTTTGTGGTATGAAATATAAAAGTGTCCTTTTTTTTATACGCAGTTCCGTATTAAGTCAAAGCTGGATTTCTCTGCCTTGTCTGCCCTTTGCTGTAGCCGTTTACTTATTTTTACTTTGTACTTCAATGCATTTTTATATATAGACATTTTTATTCTATTTTTGCTTAGCTACCAAAGATTCTTTATTTTCATTCATGTTTTTATAAGAAAAACAGAAAAAAATGTATTTGTTGTGCTTTCAACTGTTCTGACAATGACTTGTATATCTGACCAAACAATGTGAAATTATGAGCTGGGGGTTTTGTCTGCAATAACAACAATAAAAATGCAATTTGTAGGGATAAGTTATTGATTTCAAGAAAAGTGATGAACCTGTGTTTTTTTTGTACTTTGTACTTAGATAGAAAACCAGCATATTTATTTGAGACCACTTTGTGGTTTATAGGATTCTGTACTTAGTAAGAAGCTCTCTGGTATACATGCACACCCCTAAGGTTCCATATGTCTACACTGCAAAAGCAATAAATACATTCAGAAATGATTTCAATATAAAGCACATGTGAACATGATTTGTAGACTTCTGTTTTTTGCAGCATTGAAACTATATGGAGCTGTAGCTTCTATGTTCAGACCTTAGTACAATAGACAATAAAGACTAAGCAGACTGAAAACTTTCATTTAAACATATTTCAAAAATATTTGCACGGAAATGCAGTCATCTGCAAATTGTGTACCTTGAAATTGAGAGGTGCCTTACTGAGGGATGACAAATGAAAAAGAAAAACTGAGTGACATTTTATACAGTTTTTGAAGGTTTGGTATTTTTTTTTCAAGGTGTAATGAATGAGACTGACAATTGAACCATGGGGTTATTTTCAAGCCAAACTAGTCATGGGCAGTGTTATCATAAAAGCACTTTTGTGTTGTGCCAAATAAAAACAACTATTGTTTTAATTTGCTGGTGTTGAGAGTTTTCATTTATCTATGAGAAAGATTTTATTTAGTCATTTGTATGTCCTCTGCATGAAGTGTCAGTATTTCTTGTGTGCAGTTGTACTTTATTAGACTTTTACTAACTGTTGGGACAGAAAAAAATATGTCAATGGCAGCTTCATTGCCAAACACGAAACAATTAATGTTCTTTATTTTTGTTCGTCATGTCTGTTATAGTCATCTTCTGCCATTTTGTTGGAACATTTGGAACATTTTGGTGGAAGGGGAATACATGGTAAACGATAAACATTTGCCACCTTAAAACGAACTATTTTATTATAGAGAGAACTGTCGTCTTCCAAACAGATATAATTACAAACTATGTGTGGAAGGCGCAGGACTGATATGAGTATGTGTACATTGTTTGATTGAAAAATGTCAGATATCAATTTTGAGAATTAATTCAAAATCAACATGGCCTAAATATTGCACACATTTTCAGTTATGCACTTCAATTAATCTACTAAAGAAATCAGATACAGTGCTTTTTTGGCTTCCCGGACACTAAATCTGCTCTTTGGTCCAGTGTAATTTACAACACAACAGCCGACTAAATAACAGTAATCTACTGAGTTTAACTAGTGTATTTAGCTGCCTGGCAACAGTATGGTACTAATCAGCCTTACATACTGATGAATAGTTGTCTTAACTTCCATGTAAAGACAGCTACTCGAGACTTAAAATATATTTATTTTGTCACTTTTTTGTCTGAGGTTGTCCGATATTACTCCTATATCAACTCCTCACTCACTGAACATCTGCTTATAGATAGACAACACAATTTACTGATGTTCCCTGAACGCCTCACATTCAGACTACAGTAGTTTGTCAGCTGTGCACAGAGAAGCTTCTGGTCTCCCCACTCAGCTACTGCAGTGCAGCAATTTGGACAGATGTGTGACCAAAAATGACATTGAAATGAGTCAGAATTATCCAACTAGAAACCATGTGATTTTAACTACATGTGCTGTTTTCTATGTGCAGAACATTTTCAATGTCAGTATTACGTTTAATCACGTGTATTCAGTTGTGGGCTAAGAAAAAAAAAAGTATTATTCATTTAATTTTGCAACCCAATGCTGTATTAGCCATTGTGAGCGAATGTCGTTCTTGTTCTGTCATTCCTACACCTGTGCTCTCATTATCAGGTGTGTTTGAGGCAGGACCTCTTCCTCAGCCTCCTCTCTCTCCTCGTTTGTTTTTTTAAAAAAAAAAGAGGATCAACAACAGACTGCTTCATAATAAACTGCTAAATAGATAGTTTCATGTGTCGTGCAGCGAGAGGCAAACTGAGCCAGTAAAGGAAAAAAACCACAGTGACAACTGTAGTGGAGAAAACAGCCTAATTTTCATCATGCAACCGCACAAATGTGACTACGTGAAATTTGAACTGGTGAAATAGTCACAGTCTGCAACTGTGTTATGAAACAATGTGCTACCATTACTGAGTAAGAAGTGTGCAGACCAAAGGTGAGTCAGCCTCGTTGAATTCTGCCAAAGTTCCCAAATGGTCAGTCCAAGCACAGATTTGGATCTTGAGCCCTTAAGAGGAAACTGATTTGTTTATGTGTATTCCAATAGTTCAATATTGCACAACCAAAACAAAAGACAAGGGAAAATGGATTCATCATTTTATGGACATCAACAAAAATGCTGCCCAACATGTGTGAACACACGTAATGTGATTTACTTGTGATTTGGCAGACTGCAGATGACCTGCTGAAGCCATCTGGCCAGTTAGCTGATATATACATGTGCGTTTGTGTTGAATCACATGTTGTTTATTAAAGGGTGGACAGTTGGGACAATCCAAGGGTGTGCTAATGTCTTTAAATCATTGTTGAATCTGACATTAAATTGCTGATGGTGATATGAATTATCCTATGAGAAAGAGTTGTCCTTCTGTCTCTATGTTTGTTTAAACATGTTTATTCATTTACTGTCAGACTTCCTCCACTGGCTTTCTTCGCTGGCACCTGTGATGGAAAATTTGCGGGATAAACATGTCGTTGCTTGTGTTTTTGAAAGTAGTCAAGGGTCCAAACAAGATTTTTTTTTTTTTTTCCATTGATATCACCAAGTATTCATTACATTACTGTTGCTATTTCCTATCAAAAGCAGCAAGTCTGACATCATTCTGTGAGAAACAAAACCAAAACCAACTGTGAATTGATCACACTAACAAGTTTTGTCTGTGCATTCAAATCCTAATGTTATTTCCCCTTTGTTCCATTGCTGTCCAAGAGCTATTAAAAACTAAATAAGAAGCAACAGTGTTACACTAGATGACATGGATTTTTCATAACCATAACCACACGCTGGAGTTTCATTTGAGTCTATCCCACCGACACCATCCTTCTGTTGGAAATGCTCACTAAATATGTATTAGTCCATTAGTCAGAATAGTCCTTACCAAACTATTTACCTCTGCTTTGGCACTGTTTTCCAAAAATGACAGTGCTGCAGGAAACTATCTATTTTAAAAGTTACTTCATTTCATAACCTTCATACTTTAATACTTTACTTACATTTTGCCACTACTGCTTATGTACTTTTACGTATTTGTATTGGAGTATATTTCCATTGCTGTTCTTGGTACTTTTTACTGAAGGAAAGGTTCTAAATACCTC